TGACAGATGATGGAAGCAGTTAGCTTCCTCCCATAATTGGAGCTTACCAGGGGTTGTAAAAATCTAATATATATACATATACATATACATACATACATACATACATACATACATACATACATATATATGATTTATTAGATACATACACACACACACACACACACACATACATATATATCAGGATGAAAAGCTTAAAAAACCTATATTTGTAATCAATCTAAAACCCCATGGTCTCCCAACTTTTGCAGATAAATTACAAAATTTATCCTATCACAATGTTACAAGTTCCTCTTTTTTAAAAATCAGATTACACTGCTGTTAAGTCTAGGAACACGGGCAAGCACTTAATTTCTGCTGAGTTGGCAGCTTTAAGCTACAGGTTAAGAAGGAGTCCAGTTGCTAACTTTGGCTTTAACCCAAATTTGTACGTACAAATGGACTGTCTGTTACTAAAAATGGCGGACCGCATTGTCCTTCCTCAAGCTGAACACAGTGTTGAAGCCATCCAATGCTTTCAGGAACAAGCTGTATATTAAAAGCACACAGCTTCTCTGGTTTCTAAAAAGAATTGGGCAGCGTCAGCAGTTTGTTGCCTGGAGAAAGGGGAATGCCGTCCGCCATTTTTAGTACAGTGAGTCCTCGACTTACAACCATTTGTTTAGTGAGGACACTAAGTTTGTCGATCAGAAAGTTCGGCGGTTCGAATAACCTAGGGCTGCGTAACGGAGTGAGCTCCTGTTGCTTGTCTCAGCTTCTGCCAACCTAGCAGTTCGAAAGCATGTAAAAATGCAAGTAGAAAAATAGGGACCACCTTTGGTGGGAAGGTAATAGTGTTCCGTGCTCCTTCGGTGTTTAGTGATGCCGGCCACATGACCATAGAGACGTCTTCGGAGAGCGCTGGCTTTAAAACAGAGATGAGCACTGCTGCCTTGAGTCGGGAACGACTAGTACATATGTGTGAAGGGAACCTTTACTTTTAAGGTTACAGTGACACGGAAAAAAAATAACTTACCACCGGTCCTCACTCTTATCTCTGTGGTAGCATCCCAGTGGCCACATAATCACAATTTGGGTGCTTGGCAACCAAAGTGTGTTTATGATGATTACAGTGTCCTGGGGGGCATGTGATCTCCATTTGCAATCTTCTTAGCTGGTTCTGATAAGCAAGGTCAATGGGGGAAGGTGGATTCACTTAATAACCTTATGGCTCACTCAACAAACTGTGGCAAAAAAGGTAAAATTGAGCACGATTCATTTAACAACACCTAGCAATGGAATTCTGGTCCCAGTTGTGACCGTAAATTGAGGATTACCTCTACTGGTAATCCTTGATTTATGAGCACAATTGAGCCCAGAATTTATGATGCTAAGTGAGACATTTTTAAGTGACTATTTGTCCCATTGTACGAATTTTCTTGCCGCATTTGTTAATTGGAATCCTTGCAGTTGCTTAATTAGTAACACGGTTGTTAAGTG